TATATATAAAAAAGCAAAGAAAACCCAAAAAACAAAAAAAAAAGAGGCATGCTTCATATAGCCTGTGACTGTCAATACTTCAGAATGGAATAGTTTATATATAACTTTAGCAAAAGATTTATAAAACTGAGAACTATGCATAAAATACTTTGAAAAATATTGTATGTAGAAAATGAGAAACAAAAGGAAAAGAAAGGGAAGCAGAAGAGAGAAGTTTGCACATGTTTTATGTCCATTTTGAGCGCTTTGATTTAAGTGAACGTTACGCTTTGTGTGCAGAGTTGCCACCTTTTTGTAAAAGATAAACACACTGACACACACATACACAAACACTCTAAATACAACTACTACATTACTAAAGACACGTATACACACGCATATTGGCAGTACTTTCGTTTTTCGCATTGCTGTACCTTAACTAAAGAAATGAAACAAAAACCAAAACAAATATATAAACTAAAACTAAAAAGCTAAAACTATAACTGTACATTCTGTACTTCTTGGAAGTTCTATAACTGTATTAAGCAACACAAATGCAAATGCAAAACGTTAACGTCGAGTCGAAGCAGCGTAAACATACTTATTAATTGGTAAGTTAATAAATGTGTAGCGTGTATTAGCTTGTAAGTTGGCACACACACATACACACACACACACACACACTATCACAGACACGCGCACATGAAGCCTGCCTATGTAAACTTTTATATTAACGAAAAATACACCAAAGAAAACAAAAACAACATACGTAAGCTACACACACATTACACAACACTAGACATACGCCACACACACACACACACCAAACACATACACAGACACTACGCGCTGAACCAGAATTGAAATATGTGAGCGATTTTTAACAATTTATATACTACAATACAACAGACAAAACCAACAACAACAACAACTAGCTAAAAGATAACATGAAAAACAAATTTAAGCAATTTAACAATCCCATAGCGAAATTTTTAAATGCTAACAACCAAAACAATTGCAAATGCATAAAAAAGCAAAAGGAAAAACTTTGTATTCATCTTATGAATATGTTTTTGTAGCTTAATGATAACAACTACATACGTAGCTATATATATAAAAAGGTATATATATATAAACAAACAAAAACATATGCATATATATATATATATGTATACAGAAATATATATATATATATATCTATATATAAATGAGAAACTATAGTGAAAAAGTAAAAAACAAACGTAAAATGAATAAAGAAATCACAACCACCAATCAATGTAAAACTAAATTAAACGACATTCAATGTAGCTTATTTATAATATGCAAGAACGTGAAGCATTGAGATATTTAATTTCGTACATTGGTTTGCAGAAAATAAAAATATAAAAGAAAAACGATTCTTAATAATAGTTTGTTTGATTTTTAAGGTGAAATCTAGTCAAGTTGGCGCGCAAATGGCGTGTGCTTTCACTGCTGTAAAGTATGAGCTTAATTGAACAAGTTGGCAGCACCATTTTTTCGTGTGACGTCACTATTGCTCAAACAGTATTGACTAGCTGTATGATAATCAAAAATTGAATATTATTGAATTGGGGAAATATTGATTTAATTTAAATGGTAGACATTTGCGATTTATTAAAATTTTTTACATTAATTCGGCTGCAAATTATATTATTGCATGACCTGCGACTCGTTACTAAATACCGGTTACTTGACTGACGAGTATAACGAGTTGGCAGCCTTGCTTTGACAACAACATATAACTCACAATAATGGTAAGCAATTCCAGTCTCTTTTTTATTTATTAGTTGCAAATAATCAAACAAATATTTTACATTCAATAATTTGACAAAGCACTAGATTGGAGCAGCTGATGACAGCTATAACGGGCACCCAACGAAACGAGAGCAACATCATCAGCGATATCAACAGCGACGACAGCAGCAACAACAACAACATCAGCTGTACAAACATTAATTTTTAGACAAATTCGGGGTGGGGGGCTGACGACTGACTACGGAAGACGGTCGCCAAAAAGACACGGAAGTGTTTTCTCACCAGAAACTTGATTGAAAACCACCTTCGGTGCGTAGTAAGCCATGGCCGATGCTGCTGGTGGTGGCATGCCCGAAAATGCGGCCGAAATAGCCGTGGCGAATGCAATCAATAACATCAACGGCCGTAATCGTGTGCTCGCTGGCGGAATGCCTGCCGGCGGGTTAGGAGTAGGCGGAGGTGTTGGCCAAGTAAGAACGCACATGCACACACACACACACACTCATGCACACATGCACAGCAATGCTTATCTTTGACAATTTGTAGAACAACATGATGAACATGCGGGATCGCCTATTTCATGCCATTTACTTTCGTGTAGCAGCCACCTATGCAGAGTTAGTGCCACGGTAAGTGATCAAAGAGTTAATTACGGATACATAATTAAAGAAACTCTCTCCCTCTCTCTCTTCTATTGCAGCAAGATACAAATGGCAATTGAGTTTCTGCTGCTGCTAAAGGCTTTGGTGTTCTTCTTCACTTTGGTTTACATACACACGGCATTTATAAAGAATCCCTGCACCTGCCTGCAGGACGTGCAGAATTGGCCACGCGATGGCGTTATCCGTGTGGAAATAATACCACACTTGGCCGAGAAGCGTGCCATATGGCAGCGCATTAAGTCCGATCAGCAGCTGGTGCTGGCGCTTAAGCATACTTAGTATGAAATCCGATATCGTAATATATTACTGAATCTCATTTGTTGCTTGACTTGCAGCTACTATGGCATTGGACCACAAACACTGGACAATCACAACAGGCTGAAGCGCTACGAGACGATACTACGCAAACTGGGCTTGCCGGTGCGACCCAATTTCGCCTATGGCAACGAGAGTCTGTACTACTATTTCGATGCTGTCAATATACTGGATAGCTACGAGCATCCCAGCGCTATACCACTCAAGGCTGACGACGATGATGGTATATAAGTTTATTAGCTAAATATGATAAGTGTGATTAATAATACTATATGTAATTCGCTTGCAGATGAGCAATATATTGTTGAGTATTCGCTGGAGTACGGCCACCTGCGTCTCTCCGCCGACACACGCAAAAGATTGAACATACCCGTGCTGACTGTGCAGCTGGACCCCAATTCGAATCCCTGCTTTGGCGATAGACTGACGCGCTACCTGCTCAAGCGTTTGCTGGGGTAATTTCGATTTGATCTAAATTAAAAGCTTTTAATTAACTTGTTTGGCCAATTGGCAGCTATGATGACTTGCTAATGGCTTCGGTGCGCACTGTGGCCGAGAAGGAGGACAACAAGGGCTACCTGCGTAACGTGATTACGGGCGAGCACTATCGTTTCGTGTCCATGTGGTGGGCTGCCTGGAGCAGCTATCCAGCTGCATTCTTGGTCATGTTGCTCTTTGTATGTCGTTTATAATATTCATGTGTATATATTTACTAATTTTATAAACTCTTTACAGACGTTTTCGGTGTCCATGCTGTTGCGCTACTCGCATCATCAGATCTTTGTGTTTATAGGTAGCTAGTTAAGCGTTTCATCTCTGAGTACTTTAATCAAATTTGTTAACCTTTCGCAGTGGATCTGCTGCAAATGCTGGAGTACAATGTCTCGGCCCGCTTCCCCATCGCGCCCCTACTGACGGTCATACTGGCGCTCGTAGGTGTGCATAAATACCCGGCATATGCAGCTTATCTCTTGTTGAGCGCAAATTTCTGTTGAATCTTTTCAGGCATGGAGGCCATCATGTCGGAGTTCTTCAATGATACAACAACTGCTTTCTATATAATATTGATTGTCTGGATCGCGGATCAATTTGATGCCATCTGCTGCCACACGACCATTACGAAACGCCATTGGCTCAGGTGCGTAGTAGACCGGGAGGCAGACAGAGACTGCGGACAGCTGTTGCTGCAACAGTTTTTTGTGCCATTTGTTTTCCCTCATTTTTATTTTTATTTTTTGCTGCTTGTGCAATCGTCTGTGCGCCAGAACAAATGACAAATTCAATTACATTAAGTCGAAGCCGAAGCCGGGGCATCGCAATCCTTTGCTGTCCGCCCAATGTCCGGCTGCTGTCTTCGGACTAACCTGACCGGAGCTGAACTGAACTGAGCTGCGCTGAGCTATCCCCCTCAGCACTTAACAGTTCATTTCGTTTTGTTCGCATATTTTCTTTTCTTTTCACTCCATGTCCAGGACGTATTTCACACTGCGTTTCGTTTGGTTGCGTTGCGTTTCGTTTCGTTTCGTTTGGTTGTTATTTGAAAATTAACTTGGCTTGCGCAAGCCTCCCCCGGGGCCACAGCAAATCGACCAACACAACACCAAAGACCCTCCGCCGGCACACACAAACACACACACTCACACACACACACACATATAGAGAACACAGAATTTCATCACTTAAGTCAACAAGCGTAACCCAAGCACCAGTCAACCCAGTACCCATCCCCACCCCCAGCCCAGCTCCAAACCCCAAACTCCAGAACCCCAAACCTCAACTGGGCCGCGCCATTAGCAAACATTTAAATAAACTTGTTTGTAATAGCTGCGAACACAAAATGGAATAAGTGAAAACCTACAGAAAAAATTGTACAGAAGAGGACAGCGGGGCTGTGGGGCCATGGAGCCGGGGGCAGCTCCTATAAACATTAATGACCACGCACGTCATACAAAACTCAATCGGGCCGACAAGCGAAAAGTGGACGCGACTCTAAAACCGTTTACCCCCTTTCCCGTGTTCTCTTCTCTCCTTTTATTTTGATCAATCTTTTTTTTAGCCTCGTCTGGTTCCGCGAATTGTGGCTGGGGACGAGCTACTTTGCGGTTTATTGCGCGCACTTTGCATAATTGAGAGGCGAACAGCTAGGAAATTATTTTGGAAAATCTCACCCAACATTCGCCACTCGCCACCCCCCAACGGCATCAACAGCAGCAACAAGATTTTTCAAACATTGCGTCCATCAATAATTCAAAAAGACACTCGACTATTCCCTTTATTCGACTCGCTCTCCGTCCCCCTCTGTCTCTCTCTCTCTCGCTCGCACTCGCTCGGTCAGCCTGCGTCTGTCTGTTTGCTGTTTATGAGAGCCGAGCTCCATTAGAAATTCATGCCCTGGCATTTACCAATCACTATTCACTGACCCCGCTTCCCTCCTTCCCCCTTCCCCATTCCTCTGCCTCTTAAATTTTGGTGTTGATTTTGCGTAATTTGCGCCCGAATTAAAAGGCCATCAATGTGGCGCTCGGTTCGAGCAGCTGCCGTATTTATATTCATTAAACATTCATTGCCGCAAAATGTACCCGTGCCACGCCCACTTACGCCCAATATTAGCTGTTTATTACGGCATTTAAGCGTGCCACCACGGATTTCCCTGCTGCCTCTCTGTTGTGCAAGCAACCAACTGCTTGCAGCATCTTCCAGGTGTTGGCCTTGCCTTGCAGTGCCCTGGGAAAAAAGCTCCATTAAAATATAATTGAATATCGTATATCGTAATGCTCGTATTTCCTGCACCTACGCCAGTCCTTGCTAATATACTTAGCCAGCTTTGCCTGCATATAAACTGCACCCCTCCCCTGTCTTCTGTGCTTTATTATCCTTATCTGGCTAAAAATATTTACCTTCAAAATATCTCATTACACTTTGTCTGACTATCAATAGCAATAAATCAATAACTTTTTTGCAATGCTCTTTAATATATTCATTTCTAGTATATGCATTAAAGTTTTAACTGAAGCGTTTTGTTAGGGATTTGTAGGATTTCTCAATCATCTGCATTTTGCAGTGGATTTAGAGTCTGTGTGTTTCTTTCTCTCTCTATCTCCCTCTCTACTTCTGTCTCTGTGTTGCCTGTAAATATCTCTCTAACCTCTCTGTCTTCTTGTAGCTTTGTTCTCCCTATTTGTGCTTCCTCTTTCCTTCTATTTTTATTTCCAGAGTCTTTTCATTCTCTGTCCTTTGTTTTTGTCTCGATGTCTCTTCTGTTAAAGTGTCGTCTTCACTTTGTCTTTCTTCTCTTTCTATTGATGGGCATTATAGTAAAGGATCGAAGTCTTACTACACTTGTTTCTTCACTCTTCCAACTTTACTCTTCTTTACTCTTCACTCCCTCAATTTCACTCTCTAACATTTCTGTTTTTCTCTCGCTCTCTTCTTATTTAATTTTGTCTGTCCATTCTTCTCTCTTCATATCTCTTTCGAATTATTTCCTTCTCTGTCACCATACTCCCTCATTCTTTTCCCTCTTCCTTCATAACTCTCTTCTGTACTCTCTCCTCTTCTCTCTGTATTTCTTCATACTATATTCGCATTTATCTCCTGATTTTCCCATAATCCCACAAATTTCGTTGCTTTAAAGTCGCTGTTGAATTGAATTTTTTAGTTTTAAATAATATATATATTTTTTTTTTTCGAGGTATTGTTTGCAAACCTTTTCAGCTCAGATTAGATTTCATYAATTTGTGATTACGTTTTCATCTGGATTTCGATTTCGATTTCGATTTAGCTGCGGCTTTGATTACCACATCTAATGCAAATTACATTCAGCTGTCATTTGTGTTTCTAATTAAATGTGGATAATAATGGATAATTAGGTAGAAAAATCTCCACAGTATAATTTAAATTACATTTCGAGATAATATCGATTTCAGCTGCCGTTTTCAGATTCCCTTTCGCTTCTCTAGCTTCAGCTTCAGCTCCAGATCCAGCTCTCCCCCTCCCCCCTCCCCCTCCGTTTGCCTTGGGCGCCTTTAACATGGAATCAAAGCAATCAGAAATGTTTAGATATTAGGTTGAAGTTTGAGCAGCGCTGCTCTCACTGTTGATATATGCATATATTCATATTCACATATTCAAGCTCATATTCATACTCGTATTCATATTCATATTCATATAGCTCTATATATATGTTTACCTATTCAAAGGCGCGGAGTTGGCCAAGATGCATTTGCTAAGGCCAGAAGTAGCCAAAGAATATCCCCATTGAAGTAGCCAAGTCAAGGCATATGCAGATTTTTTGTCCTCTGCCACGCCCCCTCCCCTCATCCCAGCCGGGCACCCCCTTCGTCCTACAGCAGCACAAGTAAAAATTAATTTTGTAAAAAGTCAAAACATATTGGTTGAGCTCATCATGCATGTACCCACGCACACACACACACATCCTGTTTGTTTGCTTCTGTGTGTATGTGTGTGTTTGTGTGTGTGTGTACTTTGGTACGGTTTAATTTTGCTGTTATTGACCGCCCGAAGCAATCGAAGGGGGTTTCCACTTTAGACCTTTTGCCTTTCACTTCCTGTTTTTTGCTGCTGCTGCTGCTGCTGTTGCGGTTATGGGTTATGGCGAGAGAGAGAGGGAGAGGGCGAGGGAGTAAAGGAAAGAGAAAGGGTAACGAAGTAAAGTTCTCTCTGGTAGTGCTGCCATTTTGGTTGCCTGTTTGCGGTTAGCTGCGATTGAAGTTCGCTTTAAGGCCAACGAAATGCGCCAGCTGCGTTAATTAGCCCGGCTTAAGCCATATGTCTTAGATAGTTGCAAGCGTTGCAACAGCAGCAACAACAACAACAACAACTCCAACAGCAGCAGCAGCAACAGCAACAACAACTCCAACAGCAGCAGCAGCAGCTTGCATTAGCTTCTGGGGCAGGTGTAAGTGTGACGCACTCAGGTATTTACGCCCTAATTGACTACCGTCAGCGACTTTAAAGTGGCATCAAAGCAACTCGTTTGTGGCACGCTTAAGAATAATTCTGTTAATCGCCGTTTAACGAGCAGGCGCCAAAATGTATAGACGAGCATAATTTGGCACACCCCTTTGGCCGCCCGCCCAGCTTGTTTGAGGCTTGTCGCCGGCGATACGGCGCCCACCGCCCCCCCGACCCCTCCCTTATTGAATCCGTACCGCCCCTGCTGCTGCTGCTGCTGCTCCTGCTCCTGCTCCTGCTCTGACTTTTGCCCTGCGGCTTTCAGTGACGCAGCCGTAATGCTGCTTTTGTGCTTAAATCTGGTTGCCACGGCACGGGGCAGACGACACGTATTAAATGAGCTGCAAAAGTGTACAAAAAGGGCACAAGGCGAGGCGAGGCGAGGCGACGTCTTGCGCAGATTGACGGACAGACGAGCCGAGGCAACGCCAGATGGACGGACAGACCAGATAGACGAATTGGACGGACGGACTTCACAGAATCGCGTGGTATTGGCGGCTTCAAAGAGCAAATTGTATCAAGACAACAGCAGCAGGAGCAGAAGTGGCAGTGGCAGCGGTAGCTGTGGAAGGGGTACTTTTTGGTTGGGTTCAAGTTCGGGTTCGGGTTCGGGTTCGGGTTGCGAGTTCGGGGCAAATTTGTAACAGTCGCGCGTTTCAAGTAGCTGCGAAGGACACGCCGTCAGCCCATTCCCACTCAGCTGCTGTGGCGCGCCTTTTGCTGTTGTTTACACGCTTGTTATGCGTAGCTCCCTACAAATACACACGCACACACACATACACACACACACAGACATCTACACTCTATATAATACATATTTATGCCATAAGTATATATAGATCTGTTTGCTTGTTAAACCCAATGAGCCTGCTTCCTACTTTGGCGGCGTCCTTTTACCCAGTTCGCGCGCATTTAGCCAGAACGTCAACGTCAACGTCGTTGGCAACCATTGGCGGTGAGCTGGCGATGGAGGTGGGGGTGCGGTGGGTGCTACCCCTTAACCTGCAGCGCCTCACCTTATGTTCAGTCCTTGTTTTTCGTGTTGATTGAGATCATGTTACGCAAAGTATAATTGCGTCAAGTTTGTTTTGCTGCCATAACTTTTGTCCGCGAGCCAACGCCTCGAGCTCTGGCTCGAGCTCGAACTCGAACTGGAATGCCCGG